AGGCACACACAGCTGGATAAAAGTATATAAGCCCAACTTCACTGATTATAAGTTTGAAAAGGCAACGTGGCTCCACCTGCAATCAAAGGCTCGGATCGGAAGGCAGCAGGGGAATGGGGTGGTGGTGGGGTATGGCAGAGGAGCTGCTTTCAAGCCATTGGAAAATATATCCAATCCAACTTCTGTGTTTGTGTTTGTTTGAGATTGAGTGAGTGAGAGAGGGATCCAACTTCTCTGTGTGCGTGTGTCTGTTTGAGAGAGGGGGGAGGGAGGGAGAGAGGGAGGAAGGAGGGAGAGGGAGAAGAAAAAGAATGAAGGAAAACTTTTTCGCACAGGAGAAAAACAAATGCTGTCACTTTAAATCGGAACTGAGCATGCCTGGCTGTGGAATTCTGGGAGTTGAAGTCCACAAGTCTAAAATAATTTGAAACCCCTGTGTCAGTGCCTCACCAGCCATAAACCTCACCGCACATCACTGTCTGTAGCATATAAAATCTACTAGCAAAATTTGTGGTAGAATGTAGTCTGGATTCCCAGGAGGGAGGGGCTGCATTCCAGATGACCAAGGTGTCCTGATTGGCATACTAAAGTATAGCTTGAAAAATCTCAAGAAACTTTAATAATTAGTTCTTGCAAGGAGGTCTGAGTGAACCACTGGACACAGCCCTTTCCGTGGTTGCAGGAAAGACCAGATATCTGCTTTCCACAAAGGCATCTGCATGTGTAAAACCCAATTGGTGCTTCTCAGATTGCTTGTCAGGTCATACACATTTTTAGTAAACATGAGTTTGCGAAGAACCCCTGGGCTTTGTTTAAAATGTCTAGTGCAAGTCCTTGCTGAATAATTTTAGATAAATCAGGAAAAGAGAGCTGATTCTGCCAGTTCTGTGTCACCGATTCTGTTACCCTTCGATGCTTTGCTGATTTTCTGTTGCTTCTTCCAGCCAGGGGTTTCAAATGCATATAGACTTGATGTACTCTAGTAAAATGGGCAACTATATAATTTTGATACACACACATGCACACAAAAACACACACCTACTTCTATGGTTATTAATTACTTAGGGACTGGTGCCATTCTGTGTACTCTGAATTTTACAGCAGAAAGTACAATGGTGGTAATTATTGTTATTATATGCATAGGCAACCACAACTGGGTGCTCCCTGTGCCTTTCTACTATCTACTTCCAGATACTGTTGGCTGCAGGGTCAGAACTGGGTTTCTTGGTCACTCCCTGCCAGCACTACCATTTCCATATAGATGTAGCTAAGAACAAAACTCACTCAGTTTCATTACTTACCACTTTAGCCCATCTTCTTCCTCTGTGCTTGGACTGGTCAACCAGGCTATATCTGAATCCAGGTCTTTCAGATGAAGTTAGTCCTATGTTAAGAAATAGCCTGAAGGTCTCAGGTGAGGAGGAAGGATTGTGTCAAACAGGAGCATTGGGGGCATTTCTTCATCTCTGCCTGAGACCTATTAGTAGGACAACTTGACAACTGGCTAAATCCACTATTCTAAGCATCACACCACATTTTCAAGCTGTCAGATTGAAATGAAGCTAAGACAATCCACCTATTCGTTTATTTTTCCTTTTCACACATTAGTAATGACAGCACCATTTCCAGCTTGGGTATTGATACAGAATAGAGATGAGCAAAGAGAATACAAACATATACGCTAGCATACTATTATGCCAGATCAAGGATTGCTAAATATCTCTTTCATGTTACCATCTGGAAGTGACTTGAGTCTTCTGTTTTCAAGATTAAAGAATCTTCCCAATTTCTTCCATATATTCTAACAGAACTTCGTTTCTAGTCTAATCAAGGAGAGAACCAACCTAAAACTGAGGAATTTCCTGACAGTTAGAACAATTAATCAGTGAAATGACTTGCCTCCAGTAGTTTTGGGTGCTCCAACACTGGAGGTTTTCAAGAAGAGATTGGACAAGCATCTGTCTGAAATGTTATGGGCTTGTGCAGGGGGTTACACTAGAAGACTCCAAGATCCCTTCCAACTCTGTTATTCTATTAGTCCCCTGGTCATCCTGATTAGCCTTTTCTGAATTCATTGAATGCTCCTCAAGTGTGTTTCCCAAAATTTGATGTAAGTAATGTAGAATAAAGTGGAGTTATTATTGTCATTATTCAGGAACTCTACTTCTGCTGAAGTATACCCTGCTTTTCAGCCGCATGTTACCGCAGACTCAGATTCAGTTTGTAACTAAGATCAAAGATCTTTTTTATAAGTATTATTACCAACATATTCCTGATCCTATGGATATGGATTTGACTCCTAGTCTACAAGTGCATTATGATTTTTGTCTGTTACTTTACTTTAATTCTCTAATCTATTGAATATTTTTTTTGGGAATTTATATTTCTGTCTTCTGGATATAGGCCATGGCCCACTTCATTTTACGAAAGAAGTAGTTACTACACAGAAGGCTTTTTAAGTGTGGGTATGGTAATAGTGATAGTTGGAGTGAAAGCCAGTTTGGTGAAGTGGCTAAAACATCAGGCTAGAAACTAGGAGACCATGAGTTCTAGTTCCGTCTTAGTACATAGCTAACTGGGTGACCTTGGAACAGTCACTTCCTCTTATCCCTAGGAAGAAGGCAATGGTAAATTACTTCTTGTCAAAAAAAAAAAAATAACAACTCCAGGGACTTGTCCAGATAGTCCCCAAGAACTGGACGCAATTGAATGGATGACAAAAATGATTGTGGTAGGACAGAATGAGGCACAGATGTTATAATTAGTAATGTAGCAAAAGCACCAGTAGAGAAACAAGGTGGAAAACAGTGAGAGAAAAACCTTTGCTTTTAGACATGCAACCTTAATTATAAGGATTAGTAATTTGATATGGGTTAACATGGTGTGTGAAAATAAACAAAAGCTGATTTCATTATTAATTTTCCTAGGAGGATGTTTTCCTGGGAAAAAAAACATGGACTTATAACCCAATTCTGTACATTAATCCTAAACTGATGCTTTAACATATCACTTGAAAATACAGCTTTTGCAACCGATGTCTCACCTCCAACACACACTGCTTTATTTTTCAGAAAGAGGTAAATGGTTTAGAAGCCTTAAATTTTGACTCTCTATTAGGAAACAGTTACCCCTTTCCTGTAGTACAAACAGGACCTTGCAACACATGGTGTTACAAAAATTGCCCCCATTCCTCTTTTGTATACACACACACACACACCAGAGTAGTTCTGGCTCGAAATGGTGAAACAAGATACAGGTTGTCTGAGAGAGAAAACTCTCTTATTTTTCCCAAGGAAAGTACTCTGCCGTTCATAAACTTCTAATCTTTCTCTTGTACCATATTGCATTCAGAACAACTATATAAGTACAGTGAATTGAAGGTAGGAATGGAGTTTTATTCAGCAGCAATCCACTTCTCTGGATCAGAGAGCCCCTTCTCAAGTGCATCAGTGTAACTGAATCCTACTTCTAAAGAAATCCGCCCTTGTAATATCAAGGCTGGCAGCTTGATGTGATGGACTTCTCCATTCAAGGCAGAAGATGACCTTAAGATACTGAAGAACAGCTCAAGATTTGGAAAGTGCCCAAAAGGCTCCTAATTGTCAGTCACCCAAAGGGCTGTCAGGGCTGCTGAAGCTTCCCGTAAAAGGGGCTGCAGAGTCTTCTTTGGCACCTTCAGAGTCACTCCATTAACCACAGTTAGAAACGTCACCCTTGTGTTGGGAGCACTTTTCCGACTCCTTGTCCAGTGTGCCTCCCCGGGTTTCCACTGGTAAATGGTATTGCCCACCAGCACATGTATTCTTCTCCTCCACTGCACGGCACAAGGTGGCAAGACCAATATAGGAAGGTCTGGGATGGCCACATCTTGGCTCACTGTGCCATCCTTGCTGAGGAAAAAACATTTATGGGTGCCAGAAATCAGAGCTCTGATTACAGTGCCAGGGGTTTCACGCCGGCTGCTCTCTTCCACAAGCCCGCCAATGACAAAGATGCCATTGTCCATCGCCACTGCGGTTGATTTGTAACACTGAAAAGCTAATGGCATCTGATTCCACACATTTACGCTTGTATTGTAAATCAGGATGCCCCGGTGGGCAAGTCCATTTGCTCTCGTGTGAGAGAAGCCTCCAATTAAGTAGAGCTTTTTGTTTAGTGAAGCAGAGGCAAAATGACTCACTGCAAAGGGGAGATTGGCAATGGGAGACCAGCTCTTCTTTTCTAAGTCAAAGCTTTCTGCAGAATCAAGCACAGTCCGGCAACTCCGGCCTCCCAAAGCATATAGTTTCTGTTGGCATGCTAGAAAACCATGTTCTCGTCGAGGTACAGACATGGAAGGTAGCTGCATCCATCTCCCAGTCAGAGCATCAAACTCATGCAGGTTGCATAAAACAGAGCCATTAAGCCTTTGTCCTCCAGATACATAAAGCTTGTGCCCTACAGACAAGAAGCCAGAGGAATCCAGATACATCAAGGGTGGTATCTCCTCCCAACTTTCTGTCTGTAGGTTGAACCCCAGGAAATGAGTTTTCAAACGCTCCACTACTCCTCCTTGCATGTTGCTTACAAAGAGACCCAAACTCACAATCCAGTCATCATACATGCCATGCCTGAGGCCTCCACTCTTCAGCAATCTTCCTACTCCATCCAGTTGCTCCCATTGTAAATGGGCATGCCCGTATTCTGCAATAATGTCCTTCTGGACTCTTGTGATCTCCTCAGAAGTTAAAAGTGGAAGTCGGACTTGTTGCATCAGCTTCTTGATGAGTGAGAAGTGCTCAGCAGGTTGAGACCTGACCCAGTTCTGCACAGCCTGGTAGACTGTTAGCTCAGAAGACACAATAAGTTTGTTTGATGAGACAATGCTGATCACTGTACTGAGATCTAAGCCTGGAAAGGACTCGTGTTCAGAAAGAGGCTCAAAATTCAAGGTGATGTGGCGTGAGGCTACACGGAGCAAAGTATGGTGATTATGAGCATAGGCGAGAGCATAAATCTCTAGGCAACTGTCCATAGAAATGCTGTCAGCTAGGAACCTAGTAAGTGCAAAAAGTGAAGGGGAGGGGAAGAAAAAGGAAAAAAGGAGGGAGGGAGGGAGAGAAGGGAAGGAAGGAAGGAATGAAGGAAGGAAGGAAGGAGTATAATTCATTAGTGGAATGGCTTATCCACCATGCCCACAGACATTGGCCAATTTTCCCCTTCACTAAAGATCAAATATAACTACTGAGCCAAGTTTGACAAAGGGTACAATGTTATCTTTTCTGTAGCAATTATAGAAAGACAAAATGTTCACAAAGGAGTGGTCAGCAAAATAATTTATGCCTTCCACCAGACTCTTTAATATAAAGTTAAGTATGAGCCCCTCATGACTCTGCTTTTGATTTGTATTTATTGATACGTTCTTACATTGCTGAGTACCCTAATCTCAGAGTGTTCTACAACATAAATCTAAATCAGAGTCAATAAAAGCTTAAAATATTTAACATCAAGCATGAACAATTACTCATTGGAGAGAGAATCCATTAATTGAGAGCACACTTTACTTCACAGAAGGCTCAATCAACAAGTGAGGGTTAGGAATTGAATTTCCTTGTAGATGGAGTAAAAAGAAGGAATGTTTGGAGAGAAATACAGAAAGAGGGCTGTTCTGTAGCAGGTCAGCACTTGGTAAGGCAAAATTCAGGACCTGAGCCAAAATAAGCCTTAGCAAAGGCAAGGTAGGAGACAGGGATGAGTGGAATAAAATGGAGATCTTTAACCATGTATATCAGGGATGTCTGCAAAGTATGGTCAAAAAAGCAAGATGGTGGCCAGAGCATCGCTCACTCCATCATGATGCTCAACTTGGAGGGGTGTGTGTGTTACCATATAGCACAGACACTCTTGATGTATGTGGATAAAGAACGAATTCCACAGTAATGATGAAATTAAATATACCATCGCAATTCCAAGATGAGAACCCGAGAATGAATACTGCTCATTTTTAGGCAGCATATTTTTGAGGCAGAAATAGAGATGGCAACAAGACTAGCTATGCATCCATCTTCTATTTTTCCTGATTTCAATTATAGAAAATTTATTTTTGTTAGACAATCAGCTGTAATAACTTGCTATGAGATTGCTGGAATTTTTATTGATTGTATTTACATGAATGTCACTTTAATTGATGTAGTAGCATGTGATATTTTCTGCAAAGCCCGTAGTAACAAATTACATAGCTCCATGTAGATTGGGATATTTTTCATTCATTTTGCTAATATATCTCAAACATGTATTGTCTCAACCCTAAATGGAAAGGTCTTAAACTCTTTGGACCTTTAGGAAGGACTAAGATGCAATACTAAAGATAAGAATGAAATTACAAGCACTCCCTTTATATATGCGGGCAAAATAAATATAACTAGTTTGTCAGACATTGTTACCCATTCAGATAGCCATGCTGAATATTCCATCACACATTATTTTTTCAAACGTCACAAATAAATATGCAATGAAATAAATTGTGTTCTATAAAAATATTATTTAACTTATAGAGAGAAGGATGTTTCGCTTTTAGATTTTTAAAGGATTCATCCATGTTATATATGCAAATGTTAGAGGAGTGTTGAGTATGCAAATAACTGGGGGGAAGGAGTGTTATATATGCAAATGTTCCCTGTTACCAGCTCTCTGATTTTCGCGGGCCGCGACTGGCTTATTCTTCGTTGTTGTTTCCAGGCTCTGCGGGAATCGCATATCCCATCCTCGTCGCCAGTGTTACATATATGTTGTGTGAGGGAAAGACACAGGAGCCATGGAATCAGAGAGTAAGATGTTTATTGCGAGATGACTGCGATTCAAAACATCCCTGCAACTGTCAGGGTATTTATACTCGAGCCCAAAGCAACTGTCAAATGACCAGCCAATCAGAGAGCTGGTAACAGGGAACATTTGCATATATAACAATCCACCTTCTCAGACAGCCCCAATTTCAGCTTCAAAACAATATTTTGTTTAGACTAAATTACCTGCCAATTATGTCCTGCAGAGGGAGGATGACAAGCCTGTTGGCTGCTGTGAAAAGATCTTGTGCAATCTCTGGTATAAGTAGTAACCGTCCTGTGTAGAGATAATCTAAGATTATCTGAAGGATGGACGAGGCCATGTCTTCAAATACAACCTGTCTTTCCCAGCATTCTCTAAAGGGCCTGGTGAACATGGCACGGAAGTATGGACTGAACGAAGCCAACAGTGCCCTACAAAGAGAGGCAGCAAAATACTAAGAAGGTGAGCTTGGATTAAACATTAGGTGCACATTTTTGACAGTACAGTACAGAACAGAACAGAATTCTTTATTGGCCGAGTGTGATTGGACACACAAGGAATTTGTCTTTGGTGCATATGCTCTCAGTGTACATAAAAAAGGCAAGATACATTCATTAAGAATCATAAGGTACAACACTTAATGATAGCCATAGGGTACCAATAAGTAAGCAGGAAACTATCAATATAAATCATAAGGATACAAGGAACACGTAGAATAGGATTCTTTAAAAACGGGGATAGGGAAAATGTTATTGAGTTTGCATGTGCATGCAGATCTAATTCACACTTTCCCAAAATGTCAAAATCACAACATTTTTAATCAGTTGCTATCTCTACTGACTATTGTGACACAACTCTTCGAAAAAGAACTGCAATAAAATGCATAAATAGATAATGCAAAGAGAAAAGCTTTATGTTAGGGAAATCGGTGTGCAAAATTGCACTGAACCTAAAAGCAATTCCTTAACAAAAACTGTCCATCAGACAGAAATGCTCTGAAGACTATGTAATTAGGAAAAATAACCACTGAATAAGCTTCCATGAGGATTTCTTTTTTAAAAAATATATCGCAAACAATTGTGAAACAAAAACAGGACAAACACCTAATTGAAACATAAAAATTGCCTGAGTTCAGAATCTGAAGCTCTGACCTGTCCTATATCATGATACCAGCAATGTTCAGAAGCCAAGTGAGCTCAGATAGCCAGCAATCTGATATGTTTAATAGTTCTGTACAACTGAGGGGCTTAATTTGGGCCACCTCACAGCTTTTTTTCCTATTCCCCATCCTTCATATAGATAGTCTTTTTATCAACATTTCATGACTGGCAGAAGTGTAGGGTGATAAAGGGCTGGTCTCAAGCTCTTTTGAAGAATTGAGAAGTGGAACAGTTGACTGTTTAATATGCTTGAATTGATCACTGATGGCTTCCACCCATCCTCCCCTCCACCTACCCATCAAGACTTACAGTTTTCCTGCAGACTTCATTAGGTCCCAAGTTCTTCAACCCATGCTAAAAGCATCCTTAGATGATTGATTGTTTCCAATAATGGTAGCTAACATTAGCATAGGTACATTTTTTAATCTTTCCAAATCTGAGAATACGGTATGAAGGAATGAGACCTTAGATCAAGTTTGCCAAATTGTGAACTTTCATAATGTGTTTATAGTTTTTATTATCCTGCATCATTTTACACCTATTGGCTCTGCTGGTTTGGGATAATGGAAAGTATAGTGTTGCTGATCTGGAAACTGGGCCGTTCAGGAAGGTTGATTATATGTTCGATGCCTTTTAAAGTGATCCATATTTTACCAGATTATGATAAACACAAACAATTTAACATCAGCATTAATATCAATATCGCGAAATATCAAAATAGTCCATTGGGGTTGGGTGGTTGATAAATTCAAATATACATGCATACAAAGAACTAGAAGGACCATGCTGTTCCAAACTAATCAAGCCATCTTGTTCAACACACTCTTCTCCATAACAGTCAGTCAATGTGGTCATTCAAAGTCCACCATGGGGCAATGAAAATGAGCAGCTTTTGTCTAGAAGCTGGTATCTAGTATCCCCAAATTCAGAGGTTCTGTTTTTCTATTTATATTGATTGGTTGATCTTCCATGAAAATATCTAATCCTTCTTTAAAGCTGTCTAACATAATGAGCGGTGATGAAATTTGTGCATTAATTATGTGATATATGAAGGAGGACTTTGTTTTCTTTGAATCTTCTGCCAATCACTTTTATTGGGTGACCCTGGACCCTCATACTAGGAAGTGTGGGGGGGGTTTGATATCTCTATCCAGTTTCTTCACACCATGAGTAATTTTATTAACTTTAATTATATTTCATTTACATAAATCTCAACTATTAGGAGCAGGAGAGGGATTTATGCTATGCTAATTTTTCAAAAAAAAAGTTTGTTAGACAAAAATAAATAACTCAAGCTTTGGCAGGAATATGAGCTGCATAAAAGTACGGGTGATTTGAGTGGCTGATATGGAGAGATCCATTGTGACAAAGAGTATCATAGATTCTGCAAGTTGCTTCCTAGAACTGCAATATCTTACTGTTAATATATTCTCTGCCCTAGTTTATTTTTCTATCTCACAATCCTGGATAAAACACCTGGTTGCAGATTACATATAACATGACATAACATGCTTTTTAGGACAATATTTGAAAACTATGAGACCTCTAAATCCAGAAAAAAACACACCTGTGACATGGGAAATGCTTGCCTTCAGCTACCAGGATGGCATCACAAAGCTGTTGGGTCTTATGGAGCTGCATCAATCCTGTGAGGATGGGGAAACAAAACCAGGTTGGAATATTAGGTCTGTCTAGAAACAAAAAAGAAGATGGACATGCTCATTGGTCAAGTAAGAATACCACCAAGAGTTTAGAGATGTCCTGGATCTTTCACTTCCAGTGCTGTTTTTATTTCGGTAGTATATCAGAATTAGTTTGTGGTGTATAGTGTGTCTTCTGCTTTAATTTCTTGGTATCTGTTTATTGTTCCAGCTTTCATTTTGTTACGATAAAAGCCACAAAAGTAAAATCAACATAAAAATGTCAAACTGAGGTGATCCATCAAAGAAAGAAAGAAAAATCCAGAAACCATACTTGAATACAGAGTACTACACTTAAGCCGCTTCAAATAGCCTTAGTGTAAATCACAAAATATTTTATATCCATATGAGACAACATTTCCCAACTTGGTTCCTCCACATTAATTGGATTACAAATTCCAAAAAACCCAGATAGGACCAAAAAGTGAGACTGAGGCAAAAGTGTGGTCTAAGTGAAAGCAGAAATGATTTCCAAGGAAGAAAAAGGTTTTGGTTTCCTGCTGGAGGAAATATAGCAGTTCCTATAGACAACTCATTTCTATAATCTGTGATAAACTTACCCTGAGTTACATAATATCCCAAAGTAGTAGGCTTCACCCTTATATCAATCTCTTGACTATTGTTGAAGTCTTTTTTGGCATCCATAATCCACCTACAGGTACAAGAATCTCTTTAAAAGGGATTCTTCTCTAAGACTCATCAGCGAATCATGTCTAGGGAAGAAGACACCATCTTACAATTGGCAATAAGATGTTAATAGCAGCCTCATGTGAGTTAGAATACAGAGCTCCAGGACCCAGCAGCATCAAGCCAAATATATCACAGATACTCTGCTGTCCTCCTGGGACCCATTGTTATATAATAAATTGGAAACCTAGAGGTTTTTTTAGTCCAGGTCTCATCTTGAAATTCTGAAGCACATTACAAATTGTAATCCATATTGAGAAGTATAACCTAATTTTTCTGTCTTCTTCAGGGCATCATTGATCATCTTATTGTTTCTTCTCCCAGGCACCTTGGAATTATATCCCTTGCACTCATTGATGGCTTTTTTTCTGGTTAATTCTTGAACAGTAAATCTATTTGGCCTTTTAGGTTAAAGTTGTAGAGAAAGCATAGTTCACAGAGCTGAGACTTCACATGCAGAAAGTCCAGGATTTGGTCCCTGACCTCATCATTTTGAAAGAACTAGGCGGATCACTTTGCTTCTGATTGCAGTGAGTGAGTAGGTAAGTGGTGAGCCATTAATATTCTGAATAGATAGATGAACAACTAGCTAAACATTCAGGCTTTTATGTATTATGAATGATTAACCTGGAACAAAAAAACATTCACAAACCCAGTGCCCATTAATTTTATTTCCATCTTATGTTCCCAGGTATCTACCAAAAATAGGTATCAAAATAGTGTCCAAATCTGATTTTTTTGGGGGGGGGAGGGGGCTATTATTTGATAACTATATCAGTTATTTTTACAGGGCCTGGAACAAATCTTGAAGCAAAAGCAGTCCCCAATAGCACCAGAGGAAAAAAAGAGAATAGGCCTAGTGGTATATAACTTATCATCCATGTTGATTCCCTATAAGAAACGGGTTGTGTTGATTTGCTCTTCCTGCTTATTGATGAAGTCAAAATACATGGGCATTATTGCAGAAGTCAGAAATGCAGAGTACAACTGCTGTTCCCAAAGACTCTAGCCCCCATTATGATAGTATATCTTGAAATAACAGGCAGCAGCCAATGAGCTGTTAATGCCATTTCTAATTTGCATAATGGAGATGGGACTATAAGGCATATTTTATGCACCATTAATTCAGACTTGAACATCAAAGGATAGGTCCAAAATCACCTCTTCTTTTAACATAGAACATTTGAGAAGGTTTACATTTATAAATGAAGATCTGATTTTTAAAACTCAGGTATACCATATAGATGCTTATTCTAGGAAAAGAGATGTCCTATATTTTACACCACAGAAGGGTTGAAGAATAAGATCGTATTCCTCCACAATCAACTTGTCTGCCTCCCCATGATTACAGGAGTCTTCTGGATAAATTACCAAGCATCAACAAAGAGATGTTGTTGACAATGAGACAGAAAAATGGACAGTTTTTATAAGGAAGGTGGGCTACAAGTATGTTTCTAAATTGAGCTAAAATGTATATGGTCTCTTATGAAAGTCAAAATCCAATGCAGATTAACTGCCAATCCTACTAGCAGTATTAGAACCTAGTGTTCCTTAGCATACAGCTTCAATGTATAAAGAGAACCATTCTGTGATGCTGAAAATAAGTCAACATTCTCACTGTAGACAGAATGGGATGCTTCATTACTTGTCATCGTTGGATTACCAATACTCACGTAGGCATTTTTCTTTATTCTTTATTCCTAAATAATATCTTATATCTTCCTGAATCCAATCTTCCATTATATTAGGCCAAGATAATTTACTGCTTGAAGTAAAGTCCAGATGGGCACCTTTCCCCATATATACTAGGACCAACATCCTTCTTGGTGCCTCTTTCAGATCTCACTGCTTGCAATATCAGTCCTAAAGTTATCTCTTCAACATTAATTTTTCAAATATTTATAACTGTCTTCCAGGTCCCTGTTTAACAGGTAAGTGAGACTATTCTTTGCTCAGATTTCTTCTTTTTCACTGGATAAAATAGTTCTCGTGGCATATCATAAGGGCTATGGTACTCCCTAAGTTTTCTTCTAAATTTCTAAGTTTTTTTGAGGGGTATATTTATTTCTTTTTGATATTATTTGCCATCCAGAATCTGCTGAGTGGCTTTACAAATTGATTAAGCAAATAAATCAATATTCAGGTGATAAATATATGTAATCATGCATCAATGGATTCAATTTGCTAAGTTAATGGGCAACTGTGCCTTTATGATTGTGGCTATTTCTTCTTCTTTAACTGCAAATGTTTAGCTCACAATTTTCTGTATTTGATGTGTCTGTCCAGAGTGGGTTTTCCAGCAACAGAATTCATGAACTGAGGCAATTTTGCCCATGTCAAAGTATGTCCAGCTGGACCAGGTCTGCCAGTAAAATGCAAATTAATAAAAGGCGCAACCTTCTGACCTTGCATAAAAATGTGAATGGTCTCAGGATGATCTTCTCAGTAAGAAAAAAAAAGTTTTAATTACTCAAAGTGCTTTAGGTAATACTTTTAATGAGGTTTATACAGTATTGTTCGCTGAGACTTATTTTGCTATGATTTTAATCTGCACCTACTTTCATACAATTATCTCCTTGTATATGGAACAAACCCCAATCATTTCTAAATAAAGCCTGGAAGTGATTTGTAACATCACAACAGTGTGTCTCAGTGTTCAGTGCCAGACCAGATAAACTGCATTCCAATGTAACATATTATCAGAAATAAAGACAGACTGTATAGTGAGGGGGGGAAAACACATTCTCTGTCTCAGATTCTTATAGCACGAATTTGTCTTCCTTTCCTTTATCAAATCATTTAGGGGCCAAGAGCTTAATCAGAACTAGAGAAAGGTGAAGAAATTCAATCTCTCTAGCCTTCCATCCACCAATCTATCTTTGTTGTTGTTCAGCACGCACCAACACACGTACAGGCTTATCCATGAACTACTTAACCTTTTCTGAGCTTGGAAAGTAAAACAAGGTGGGCCCTCCTAAGAGAATCCTGGAGACACAAACTGAGGGGGAAATTAAAAACCATCCTAGAAAGACAGCGGCAGCCCAGTTCCATAATGCTGTCAGGAAAACTTGAATAGATATGTCTCTGAAGTCATCAGGACTTAAGTTTGACTAGAAGGAGACATTACCTTTATTTATTTTTACCTTCTACCACAGCTTCTTTCCTAACATGAATTGCAAACAGGGATGTGGCATAATACACCATCTGTTGATACTTTGCCAAAATGCAGGAAAAACACCAGTACGTTTTCACACCTTGGAAATTCCTGGGTAAGAATATACATTTCATAATAATAATAATGAAAAAATAAAAGTGATTAAAAAACAACCACCACCCTGGCTTCCAGCTTTTGTAGTTAAGAGACATAAACCACAGAAGAAGCCGTGAAATGTGGTTATGAAACACTCTCTTGTAGACAAGAAGAAACTTTCTGATTTGGCAGCCTTGATATAGCTCTATGAATCTGCCTTCCCAAACACCGATTCTTTCTATTTACTAAGTCCAAGAAACCTCATTCCAAACTTCCAACTAATCAAAGTTGGGCTTGGTGCATGCATATCGTAAGGGCTATGTGCTCTTAGCACTATGATCTTTGCTGAAGTAATAGACTTAGCATCTAGTCTGTCTAAGAGAGAGATTTATCTTTGTGTAAATAATCCATGACACTTCAACTTTAATTTGCTTGCCAGAGCAAAATGTGATCTTCCCAATTTTATCCTCTCTAAGTTATGAACTATTAAGCATTTAAAATGATTATAGAAAACTTAATGCATCTCTTTGGCATTTGGAGTGGAACTCATCTATAAACATATGTAGATCTTGTATTTTGAGCAGTTAACCCTGGTTCATCTCCATTTCACTTTTCACACCTCATGTCTTGCTCCCCATTTGCTGTCTCTGCTAGGTTATCCATATCTCTCTAAATAATGAGTCTGCTTAGGCATTTTCCCAAACTAAGTATCCTATTCATCTGTTGGAGTGTCAAACCAGGTCTGACACCTTATTCAAAGAGAAAAAAATAACCCTAAGGAGTCTTGAGAGTAGTAAAATTAACATCTGGACTAAAAAAAACCCAATTTCTAACTTTACACATGGCAATAAGGCCAGGAGTTTTGTAAGTGAAAAACTGGAATTATTCCAAGTTATTATAATAATAGTAATATTTTAAACAGTATTCTCTTTCTGTAAAATACTTAAACTTGTGGAACAGCTTACAGAGCCTATATTATTGTTACCTGTGGGAGCCTGTATCATTATTCACTCCATGCACACGCTAGTTTCTTTTCTTTTTCTTTCTTTTTCCGTTTCTGTTATAATTTTGCACCAGTGAGGTTAAAACCAATTTCATTGTATTTAAGTACAATGACAATAAAGATTACACTTATACTTATTCATTATCAATTGGATTTCCATTTTTCTTTATGAATATCATAACTGTTTATCCAGTTTAGGAAGCCTTTAAAAATGTCAATAGTTACCTTGCAAGCAAACTCAAAGGGTGAGATATGCTGAATGGCCTCATTGGTTCGTATACAACTGTGTCAAATGTTCTAGCTAGGAATTTCAAGAACTGTAGTCCCAACAACCATTGAAGTCTAGAGTTTGGAAACAAAAAACTGATCATAAGTCATTCTCATTCTTATAGGTAACTAAGATAGAACTGGGTCTTATATCTGTGAACTTCTCTTGCCTGGCCTTCCCAGTGGCACTCAGGGACTAAAATTGAATACAATTGTTATAATCCTTCACAAATTAAGATTGTTGACAATACTTCTGGATTGATAATTGTCTACAAATTAATTAATGTTCTATATGATATTTTAAATGCTTATCTATAAGCCACCTAGAGTCTCCTTGGTGAGATGGGCAGCATAGAAATCTAATAATAAATAAATAATAGCTACAGAGATTCCATACCAGCATCTGATTGCCTTCAGCATCATTGTCAGCCTCTGTTTCGTTATTTGCTTTCGGCTGCCATTGAAACGGGGGGAGGGGTATTTGGGAGGGGAAGTTTTAAGTACAGGTGAGATTGTAAAAAGGGAGTTTTGTTCTCACCATCTACTGTGCGTGCTGGAGATCAGTGCTTGGTGTTGGTCAAGGCAAACCGTCCTTCATACCAACCTGATGATGCTCCTTGAAGATGGACCTCACATGACACCTAAGGGATTTGCTGATTGAACAGTGGGATGGGGTTACCAGGGGGAGGGGGTTTGGTCACATTGATATGTATGATTTAGCGTGCTTTTGCCTCAGATCTTGCTTTGCTTAGCTGCTATCTTTTCATAACCAGTAAAAGTACTCTTAATTCTGCAAAATGGAGTTAAGTGGTTCCTTTCTTGGTTGCTGAGGGAGGCCGGCTTGACAATCAAGCAATAGTGAATATAAAGTCTACACAGAAAAAAAAAATCCATGTACTATATTAATTTCAAACATAGCATCCACTGCATAGAGAACCCTTTCATATACTAGGATTTCAGCAATGAACATAAAGGTGATGGCATCTAATTATTGTATTATTGCTGTCATGTTGTAACAAGGGGTAGCTCAGTTTTAAGCACATTAGCTTGGAATGGCTCCCATATACACTTATTTTGCCAAATGCTTCAGCCAAAAGCATTTAGTTTTCACCTGCAATAAGCCAAGAGGTAGATTTAGACATTCAGTTTTTAATTGTTTTGCTGATCTTCCTGCTGGTATTTGGCCTCTCATTAAAAAAAGAATGCCACCCAGCATTGTGTGGGCTTGATGTCAAAGATGGTATGTACATCCCCCATCTGGTTCTATAATTACTACCTTCAATCAGCATCACCAGAAGAATGTTAATGGATAATATGTAAACACAAAATCTTTTATGTTTACCTAGCAAACATCTGGAGAGGAAGCTTTGGATAATCTCTTTGTGCTGAAAACTCATTGGTGGAATTATTGGGAGTTACACCAGAAAGACACTGGGAGAGGCCTACTTGGGTCAGCACCAGAATACACAAGGAAAGTAGGCATTTGGAATAACTATGTACAAATAGGATACAGAGGAATAATGAAATACCTACTTACATACATACCAAAAAAATCCTGATGGAATTTCAAGATAATATCTGAAAAGCTTATTATTATTCTCCTTTTTGTTTGCTTTTTTGTTTGCAAATCTTACAGTGAGCTAAGCAACATTATAAGATATGTCAGATTTCTTTCTCTATTTATCAATTTTATAAGTTTACTCTAGTTTCATCCATTTTATTGTTCATTCTTTTGCTTTTCATTGATATTCATCAATAATTAAAAACCAGTCATTTATTTGGGTATTTTTATTTGTTTTCATTTTGCATTTCTTTCGACAGAAAGATTTAAACACTTTATCATAGTGTGTAATTTTGGAATTTTTGTTTTGTACAGAAATAGTGCACAGAGACATGGCTTTTCATTCTTCGCCATTACATGTGTAATATAATATATTCCATGCAGAATATCCATATTATAGGGCAGTGGTGTAATATGATAGCTGCTATTCAGAATAGAACTGATCAAAGGAAGATTCTCTAATTCTAATACGCAATTTGGGTAATTGCATGATTATCATAAAAAGTTAACTAGAAGAAAAATCCATAGATAAGCATCCCTTTAAAAGTCAATTTATCAAAGATTTAATAAA